TCTTTCGTGGAGCAGTTTTTAATTTCAATGAAGTCCAGTTTATCAATTATTTCTTTCATGGATTGTACCTTTGGTGTTGTATCTAAAAAGTCATCACCATACTAAAGTCACCTAGATGTCCACCTGTGTTATCTTCTAGGACTTTTACAGTTTGGCGTTTTACATTTGGGTATATGATCCATTTTGAGTTGATTTTTGTGAAGGGTATAGGTCTGTGTCTAGATTCCTTCTTTTGCCAGTGGATGCCCAGTTGTTTCAGCACCATCTGTTGAAATGCCTATCTCTTCTCCGTTGTATTGCCTTTGCTCCTCAGTCAAAGGTCAGTTCACTATATTTATGCGGGTCTATTTTTGAGCTCTCCTTTGTTCCATTGATGATTTGTCTATTAATTCACCAATATGACCTTTCTTGATGACTGCAGCTTTATAGTAAGTCTGGAAGTTGTGTAGTGTATGTCCTCTGACTTTGTTCTCCTTCAGTATTGTGTTGGCTATTCTATGTTCTTACCTCTTCATAACAAATTTAGAATCAGTTTGTTGATATTCACAAAACTGATTTCAAAGATTTTGATTGGGATTGTATTGAGTCTATAGATCAAGCGGGAAGAATGGATGTCTTGCTAATATTAAGTCTCTTTATCCATTAACATGAAATACCTCTCTACTTAGCTCTTTATTTCATCAGCGTTTTAGTTTTTCTCATGTATATCCTCTACAGTTTTTGTTAGATTGATTCCTAAGTATTTCATTTTTGTGGTGCTGATGTAGATATGTTTTAATTTAAAATTCCATTTGTTCATTACTGACATAGAGAAAAGCAATTGACTTTTGGATACTAACCTTGTATCCTGCAACCTTGTTATAATCGCTTACTATTTAGGTTAGTGCAAAAGTAATTGCGGTTTTAGCACTGTTGAAATTTGCCTTTGATACTAGAATACATTCTGAAATAAATGTGGTTATGTTGTACGTCATTTTAATGCTCATTTCTCACTTTATGTTTTTTTGCAACTGACCTTAGTGAGAAAGTTACTAGTCTCTCATTGTTAAGTATGGTGTTACCTGTCAGTCTGTTATAGAGGTTCTTTACCTAGTTGAGGAAGTTCTCCATTCCTAGTTTGCTGAGACTTAGTATTGCTTTTCGATTCTTAGAATTTTCAACTCTCTTTTTTACATTCTCCATCTGTTGTTACACATTGTTATATTTTCCATTAGTCCTTAGCATAGTAATCACAGTTATTTTAAATTCCTAGTCTGATACTGCTGACACTCATGACATACCTAAATTTGGATGTGATGTCTCTTCTAGTTGTGCTTTTTGCCTCTTAGTATGCCTTCTCATTTTCTGTTGAAAGAGGAACGTGACATACTGGGTAAAAGGAACTCCAATAAATAAGCCTTTAGGAATGTGGTAAGGTTTAGGGGGAGGAAAACTGTTCTGTGGTCCTGTGAGTGGGTTTAAGTCTTTTGATGAGCCTGTATCCTGGGCTGTGAAATTTCTAAGCGCTTCTCAGTTTTTCCCTCCTCAGCCGGGACAGGAAGGTTAGAGTGGTCTGCAGTCGGGTATTACTTCTCCATGTGGAAGGCTAATGCAGGCCGGAGTTGGCTATTTCCCTTTCCTCAGGTCAGTTAGGTTTTGATGAAACCCCAGTAAGTTACCTTTGGTAAAAACGGTTTCTCTTGAGTACTATCTTCGTTAAGAAGAACAGAATGCTCTGGCATATTTTAGAATCCTGATACCTGAATCATGACTAAATTCATCTCAGATTTTCACTTGAGACTCTGGGAAAGCTATTGGAGCTCAACAAATTGTGCCCCCCCAACGTCCCCCATGAATGGGACTCCCTGGAGTTTTAACTCTCAGACTTGTCCACCCCAAGCCTCCAGCAATTTGTCATTTACAGTTGGTTTTCCCGCCCAGGTACTTGTTCCTGCTGAGGTCTCTGCCGGTGGGTTTCAGCTTCCCATGGGTAAGCTGGGAGTCTTGGTATTCATCTGTCTAATTATTGGGGCAGGGTCCTTCCTGACTTTACTCCTCAGACAGATCTAAGAAGAGTTGTTGATTTTTCAATTTTTTCACCTTTTTACTTGTTAGCAGATGATTACAACTTCAAAACTCCTTCCGTATTGTAATGGAAACTGGAAGTCTCTGATACTATTTTTCAGAATTAAGGACCCAAAACCAAAGATTTGCTCTTTGCTCCTAACTATAATGGACTTTCCGCGAGTGTTGTGTGATTAACAATCTGTGGCTGTTCCTGACTGTGGGGCAAGAGGAAAGGCTTGAGAAAGCCAGGGAAAGGACAGTTCTGTTAACAGCTCAATATACTGCGCCACGCTGGGATATGGGGCGTGTGTGTGGTGGGGCGGTGGGGGAGAGCTAGAGGCACCAGTGTGGAATTCCGACCCGAGCCATCATGCATTGTCACTAGAGCAGTGTCATTAGAACATCATTCCTTGGCATATCCCCTTGTTGTACACCTCTCCTCTAGCCCTCAGCAAAGCTCACTCCCTATTTTCTTGCCTGAGAATGATAAGTTGGAGACAACAGCCCATCATCCTCAGAGAGTTCTGTGTGGCTGAGACTTGCGTGGACTGTGCTGGAAGCCAGCTGGCCAGGGGCACGTCCTCCTGTCTGTGCCGGTGGTTGGACTGGCTGCGCAGTGGCAGTGCAAGTCTCAGGGACATAAATCCCCTAGATGAGAGACTTGCCCTTATCAATTTACCTGAGAACTCTCCATTTCTCCCCCGCTCCTCCTCCTCCTTCTCCTTTACCAATTCCTTATTTTTTTTTTTCTTGAACTACATCTTTCTGAATCTGTATCTCAAGATAATGAAAGTTCATTATAAAAAAAGTTGAAATAATACAGCACAAAGAGCAACTGCCCTCTCATATCCCGTCCAAGATATGACACCGATGAACTCTTGAAATTGGGATCAGATGGCCCTTGCTCAGGACCGGCCCTGACTCCTAAAGGGTGGCATGCCTGTGGTAGATGCCGATTGTCCCCTGGGCTCCCCTTCAGAGCCCTCACCAAGGCTGCACTTGCACGTGGATTTGTGCCATGCTTTGATTTGCTTGCACCGTGTGGATGTGAGCTCCACAGGGAGGGGCTGTGAGCGTTTGCTTCACTTTTGTGTCCCCAAGCCCAGTACAGCACCATCTCACAGGAGGTGCACAGTGAATGTTTCTTAAAGGCATAAATATTAAAAAAACAGCAACCCTTTACATATGTGAATTGTGAAATTTCTTAAATGGAGTCCTGGAGAAAAGGGACCAAGTCTTCTGGTGATATTTTTCCTTATTATTTACAAATAGAGATGAACATGAACCATTGCTAAAATTCAGTGTTCAAAGTTTATCAACTCAGAATGTAGACATACCTATATTTCCCCCAGTGCTGATGCTGTGGGAAGCCCAAGCCATGGAGAGGCCCCGGGCAGGTTCTCTGGTCAACAGCCTGAACTGAACAGCCACCAGCACCAGCATCTGTGGCCAACAACATATGTGAGCACTTGCGAATGTCCAGTCCAATCTACAGCTGTCTCTAGCACAAATAGAGACCTCCAAGGGGAAGCCATATAGCTGAGTACAGTCAGGAAATATGAAAGATGTTTTCAGGCCACTAGAGGTGGTTTGTTTTACAGTAACAGAGAACCAGTCTTTTCACTGCACTCTCCAGTGGTTCCCGTGTCCTAAAAATCCTCCTCTCGACCAGATTTATCTCCCAACACCTGGACCCCATCACTTCCACAGGGTCTCTAGCCACAGGGTCTTGTCTCAGGGGTGCTGACACACTAGTCTCTGCTAAGATACTCACCTCTTTACCTCCCCTATTAACGGCTGCTCTTCCTTCCTCCTGGAAGCCCTCCCTGACCACCTCACTCTCCCTAATAGCACCAGCTCCTAGAGGTCAGGGTCTGTCTCATCCTCCGTGGTGATGCTTGGCACATAGCAGTCTGCATAAATTCTAGTTATAGCAAATCTAAGTCCCAATCCACAGAAGGTATTTAGCTTGGGAATCTCCTCAAAACTTCAGGCTACCACACTGGCTACTTTTATTATAAAATCCAAATTAATTTCACTTCAGAGGCCACATTTGTCATTTTAGGTCAAAAAGCTTGAAATTTGAGTTACTAGGGAAGGCTCCTACAAGAGAGTACAGCATGACATGTGGTCCCAACTTAGACAGATTTAGACATAAAGACTGCGGGAGTCTATGCGGGCTGAGACCCCATTGCCCACCTCGTTTCCCTCCAGGACTACGGAGTCGATTCACCGAACATTTTCACCTATTCTTTATATGTTCTTCAGTGGGTACATGAGATTTTGAAGACACAGGTGATGGAACTATGTGCTCTTTTAGCCAGTCCAATGTAGGAAGTTTTTCCTATCTTTTTTTTTAAAATTCAAGGATTAGGTAGCTTGGTGTAAAAGCAGCCACAGACTCTCATTTCTGATCCTCTCACCTGTCTCCCACCTTCTGAGGCCAGCACCCCATCTGTAAAGCCCAGCCTCAAACCCTGGAGTGTATCCCTCATCGCTTGTGGACTCAAACCTTGGGAATCCACTAGTACCTATTCTGCCTCAACTGCAAAGTGGCCACAGGGTTTCACCAGCACTTGGGAAAGATGCTCCAAGACTTTTGTCCTGTAACTTGACTGGGTTGCAACCATCTTGGGTGAAATGCACACGAGTTCTAAAGCCATTATCTAGTATCGAAATCACGTATGTCTGTTCACTTTTCTAAAGAGTGAATTTTTTCCTTATTAAAACAACTTTCCTCTGTCCTTATAGTTTGTCAAATTTGTTTGAATCGAGGATTGGGTCAGCACAGCCACTGGACAGCTGACATAAGATCTGCGAATCTGTGACTAGAAGAGCTGGAGGCTACGCATTCTTCCTCGCAGTGAACCACCAGCATGGCAGTTATGTCTTCAGAGCCCAGTTACACGTGACTACACAAAAAGTGCATTAAAAACAGAAAGAAGCCCCACCACTACATTTGAAATTAAGTTTTATTTAAACAAGTAAAAATCTATACATCCTCTTAAAAACAAAAATCCAAAGTCAGTAAGTGAATCAATAATATTAATACGAACATGATTATAGCAGTAATTAAAATAGAGGTAACATTTTACCAGTGTTCAAATGTCACAGAATTCAAATCACACTTGGATCTTCAATGATTCAAGTGTGTATCCCACATGGTAGGGGTTGGTCAGTTTTAAGATAAAATTCCTCCTCTGGACACGCTGTCCCCAGTCAACTGCTTCCCCACCACCATCTGTCGGCTCATACGGTGGGATAGCTGGCTGCCGTGGCAATTCCGCAGTGGTTTCTCCGGTCTTTGGCCATCTTTACGTAACCATTCATGCCCCATTCTTCACCCCAGCTGAAAGGAGAGCAGGATTTCCATTTCATAGAGAGAACAAAGCGCATTGGTTCATTAACAGAACACCTAACTTAGAACAGTGTGCCAGTGGCCACAGACTTAACAGAGAGAAATCAGGAGAGGCACATGTTCTTGTTTATCCTTTATAAATTGATGAGTCTAAATCTGCACATAACTTCTGTCCCAGACGCAAAACTATGACCTTTCGCAAACTGCAAAATCAGACAGAAAAAGGATAGGATGGCTTTCCAGCCAGGTTATGTTTCAGAAATAAGAATATCTTTAGAATTTAGAAATACAGTGGTACAAATACCACATTAATACCCCTAAGATGTCTGGGACAGTATCTTAATGTTACAATCAAATATTAATAGTCTGGTTCAACCTAAGTGGGATAAAGACTTTTGGGATTTCAGAAGTGTGCTTAAAGCTTTGTGGAACTGCATCCAAATACTGATTGCAAACAAGAATTCCCTTTTTAATTTCAAATAAGCATTTTTGGCAATTTATACCTGTTCTTCACCAGCCAATATTTACTGCTGTCCGATTCTGCTCTTTCTAATCCGTAGCCAACCACCAGAACACCATGATCCACGTCTTCACTGCTGCAGTTTGGCTCAAAATAAATGCCTGGGAGAATAGAATGACTGCTGGGGTGAGAAGCTCCAGGGGACACCTGCCAGTACCTCCCATTACCACAGTAAGGGAGGCAGCTCAATTCAGTGACATGACATACATTCCAGATAGGACGCAACAATAAGACCTATAATTATCAAGGCTAGGAATGTAGGCCCATGTCTAAAACTCACAGAAATACAAATTAGCATAAATCCTTTCATTAAAAAACTTGCCTACTTTAGGTCCCTACTTTAAAGTAGGGATAGTTAATGGGTACAAAAATATAGTCAGATAGCTAGATAGAATGAACAATATTTGACAGCACAACAAAGTGACTATAATCAACAAATTAGGTATACTTTAAAATAACTAAGAGTGGAATCAGAATGTGCCTAACACAAAGAAATGGTAAATGCCTGAGGTGATGGATACCCCAATTATCCAGATTTGATTAATATACATTGTATGCCTGTAGCAAAACATTCCGTGTACCCTATAAAGATATACAACCATTATGTACCCATAATAATTAAAAATTTACAAAATATTTAAAAAAAAACTTGCCTAGAAGCATAAAAGACCACTCTTTGTAAGCTTGCAATTCCACTCTCAGATGTCAGTCTAAAAAACAGCATAGGCTCGGCACAGTGGCCCATGCCTGTAATCCTAGCACTTTGGGAGGCTGAGGTGGAAGGACTGCTTGAGGCCAGGAGCTCCAGACCACCCTGAGCAACATAACAAGGCCCCTGCCTCTACAAAAAAATAGAAAAAATAGCCAGGCATGGTGGTGCATACCTGTAGACCCAACTACTCAGGAAGCTAAGGCAGGAGGATCATCTGAGCCCAGGAGATCGAGGTTGCAGTGAGCTATGATGATGCCACTGCACTGTAGGCTGGGTGACAAAGCAAGATCCTGTCTGCCCCCGCCACCTCCCCAAAAGAAAACCTAGCACAGAACCCTAAAATCCTTGATCAAGAGGTTCCTTTCAGATTTAATTATGGAAGTAAAAATCTTTGGAAAAATTATAAACATCCAACAATTAGAGAATATTTAAGAAAATTGGGCTGGGCGCGGTGGCTCACGCCTGTAATCCTAGTACTCTGGGAGGCCGAGGTGGGTGGATTGCTCAAGGTCAGGAGTTCAAGACCAGCCTGAGCAAGAGCAAGACCCCATCTCTACTAAAAATAGAAAGAAATTATCTGGACAAGTAAAATATATAGAGAGAGAAAAAATTAGCCGGGCATGGTGGTACATGCCTGTAGTTCCAGCTACTCGGGAGGCTGAGGCAGTAGGATCGCTTGAGCCCAGGAGTTTGAGGTTGCTGTGAGCTAGGCTGACGCCACGGCACTCTGGCCTGGGCAACAGAGTGAGACTTTGTCTCAAAAAAAAAAAAAAAAAAAAAAAAGAAAATTAAACTATACAATAAACTATGTAGCTATTTTTAAAAATTATGAAGTACTTATTAAATTCATGGAGATATGGTCAACATAAAGTCAAATGGAAACATCAGGTACAAATACTGCACATAAAGAATGAACAACTATGTTAAATCCATGCACCCAAATATCTACACTGAATTTTAAACACCAAAGAGTCCATCATACTGGTATGTCATGGTGGTTTTATATTATACTTTTTCTGCTTCAATCTCTATAAAGAACAAGGCTCACCTTCTTTATAGAACTGGAAGGACTCATGGCCTGCATCGATGGCAACAGAGATGGGCCCCACAGTTGCTAATGCCTTCATCAGGGCTTTCTCCTGTCTAGGGATGTCCACGAAGCCAGTGTCATTAGCAACAGAATACTCAGGATTGTACTTACAGGATTCATCCTTTTAAAGGTAAAGGGAAAACAGACTTCATTACTGCCATCCACTTCCTGGTGAACACAACATGAGTTAGGACCACAACACTTAGTACTTTGTAACTTAGCAACACTGTTATAAATCAGCCCAGGAGCTAAATTGCCATTAGTTGATTTCAAATGGAAAATTAGCTTAAGTTTCTTCAATGAGGCTCCCTAGGTTTATTTGCTCACAAGAAATTTTTTACAATGGAGAAATTTGTATTATATGTAGAATGGTTTGTATATTCTGCATGTTATATAGAAGAACAGCAATATGCTAATCATCAAATCAGAGAACTATGCAAAGGTTAAAAATTTATAATAACAATACTGACAGTTTGCAGATACAGATTTTACCATACGAAATGTGAACTCTGAAAAAGGTATCTTATCCCCGGAAGCGTTCCTCTTTCCAATAGCACAGCTGGAATGACAAGATAAGATGCTCCATTTACCATTGCATCATATGGATAGGATTCCTCAGAGTCCAGGCCTCCGTTCTCCTTAACATACTGAAAGGCGTAGTCCATCAGGCCACCATTGCAGCCATCGTTGCCTTGAGGCCGAGAGCAGTCCACCAGGTTCTGCTCACTCAGCGAGACAAGTCTGCCAGTTTTCTGGAACATCTGTCCTTCAAGGGCACCAGTTGCACTAAAAGCCCAACAAGAACCACACTGACCCTAAAAAGGAAATTAATCAGCTGTCACACACAAAACAAATAGCAAGACTTGACAACAGCTCATATCTTGAATACTCTTTGAAAAACAGTGAACTACACATCGATCCACAGTCTACCAAAGCACAGATGTCAACTGCCTCTTGACTTTCCTGCAGAGACAGGAGGACTGAATCTGACAGCTTCTCACCTGATTCTTCACAGGAGTCACATAGCCTTTCTCTCTCCAGTCCACAGATTTGGGGACCTCAAGAAACAGAGGCTCTTGGAACACTTTCCCCTTCCTGTGCTTCTGGTTTCGAAAGCCATTCATCACCTGCCTGAATTCTTCATTGGTCTTCAAGGAAAAGTAAATAAAACATTGCAAAGCAAGAGATTATTTTGGTAAAGAACTGAGGAGACGAAACCCAGAGTTCAGCAATCCACACCACACTCACCATGTCACCAAAGGCGTTCATTGCCATGGTGAAGCTGTGTTTCCCTTGGCTGTATTCCTGATTGTGCAGTTCAATCATTTTCTTATTCTTCTCCCACACTGCTCTCCTCCATCCTTCTTCATTCTAGAGGCACACATAAAACTGATGGTCTTTATTTCTACTTAAATCCCAATCCATGCTTACCAACTGGATTTGCGAACAGATGGACAAAAACCATGGCCAGGGATGACTGATACTTCTGGGAGCTGTTCTCCAAGCTGAGACACATGTTGGGACATATGTTCACAGTTGCTCACAACAGGTGCTGTTAGGTTACTGTGTTGGTAAGAACTAGCCTCTAGAAGCTACTCTCTGGCTATAAACTTCCAGTAGCAAGGACCATCCTCTCCAGGGTCTCTCTGAACAGTTTCAGATGTTACCAACCATGCCATATAGTCTTCTGTGTTTTGCCTTCCACTGACACCATTGTGCATCTACACTGCAATCAAGTGTTGGAGCAGCTGAGGTTATTCCCACGCAAAAGGCAGCCAGGATGAGTAAAAGACGCATGTTTCAAAAAAACCTATGAAAGGAAAAGAATTGAGTATCTGATTAGACCAATCCTTCTAAAATCTATTTTATGCCAATTAAGGCCACCGTGGTAGAATAAAAATATTTATTTTCCTAAGCATTTACCCAAGACTGTAGAAGAAGCTAGGATGTGGTTGAAGAAAAACAGGCCCCTGGAGATATTAGATGGAGTCAACACTGTGAAAAGCCACCTGTCCAGAGCTCCAGGGATGGAAACAGGGTATGGGATTTTAATTTAGGGTATGAGAAGGGTGTGACGGTACCTTATGGCTCAGAGGCTGAAGGCAACAACTAGGAAACAGCTGGCCCAGGTTTTGTACCAATGCTACTGAGGTCTCTCAGGCAAAACCTCACTAATAAGAATGTGGGATCCCAAGTAGGATCAAAAAGATCTCCAAGATTTAGGAGACCACCTCACACCTCTGTGCTAATGTACAATACAGCAGATGAGGTATGTCTTTCAATCTCCCCTCCTTGAATAAAGTCTTTACTGAATGCCTTCCCTGGAGAAACTGGGAAGGAGAACACCCACGGCTCCCGCAAACCCACAGTTGGGCCTGTGCCACCAACAGCCCCACTCGCTCCCCAAAACCGGAGCCAGGGTCACGTAGCCTGGCCGCGGGAAGCCAGAGCCCCCAGGGTCAGTGCCCGAAAGGAGCAGTCAGCTCGCGGGCCTCCAGGCATGGCTGGACAGGGGACGCGCTGCCCGCTCCCTACTCAGGCTTGCTGTGGCCAGATGACGTCGCGGTGGCTCCAGTGGGAGCACAGCATTCTGGCGTGCGGGGGGCGAGTTGTCCCTTCCGGCCTGGACAGGCCTTGAGTCGGCGCGGCCCGCTTAGTGGCCCGGCTGAGGTCCACGCAGGCTGGCTGACCGCTCAACCTGGGACCCCCCGAGTGGCCTCGGCGCCTCCCTGGGGTCCCTAAACCGCCCTCCCCCGCTTTCCGACCTCCAAGCTGGCAGCGCTCAGGGGAGACGCCCTTGTTCCCGGGAGCCGCTCCCACTGCTTGACTGTGTCCCTGCAGGGGGTCCCCTCCTCCAGTCCCTGTCCCGCTCTGACTGGGCCTGGCCCGGGGCGCTCACCGGCTCGCAGCTGCGCAGGCGCACTCCGCAGCTCCCAGCCTGCTGAGGTTCGCGGTTCTGGCCCAGCTGCGCTTGACTCCGGCTTTAAGGCGCCAGGAGGCCGACCCCGCCCGCACAGCCTTCCTGCACTGCGATTGGCTGGCCCGGCCGCTGGGCGGGGCCCCCATGGCCTTCTGACCCAGCATGTGACTCAGCCGAGTCCCTGTCGGTGCCAGGGCGGGGCGCTCCTGCCTCAGTGGACCCGGGGGGAGGGGCCGCGCAGGGGAGGGTCGGAAAAACTAAGTGTTCGACATAATGTGCTGGGCGGGTGGTTAGTGTAAAGAAGTTTACAGCCAGCGCGGTTATCAGCCTAACCGCGCTTTTCCATTAGTCCTAGAGTTTTTGGTTAAAATCTCCTGCAGGGCCGTAGACTCCAGTCTAGTGGGTCCTGTTTGGTCCACAGCAAAGGTGGAGTCGCGTGGAAGAATGCAGAGCCCGCGGGCAGAAACATTATCTCCCTGTTTCGGGGTGGCATGTAGTCGGGTTCTGGAAGAATCTGGTAGGGAAAGGCACCCTTGCAGGAGTCAAGACCAAACTGCAGGAGGGAAGGGGCTGACTGATTCTCCAGAGCCCACGTGGTATTTTGTAATGCAGACTTTCCAGTCTTCTCCGTTCAGGGATTCTTCCCCCACGTCTTTTTCGCAAAAGACGGAATGAGTTGTTTACAGAGATGTTCCGTTGATAAAAAGGAAAAAGCGATTGAGAATATTGGCAACTGCTATTATTCCCCCACTCTCTGGGTTATGGATTATGATACCCTCTTTGATAACAAAAATGCTTCTCTTGAGATTTAAGAAATTTAATGATACTTAATATCAGGATTTAAGTACAAAATGTTATGGGGAAACGTTTTAGATAAAGGAAAAAGGATATATCTTTATATAATGTAGATATTAATTTATGTAATTAAGGATTTAAGGAACACAACCCAGAAACATTCTAAACCTTTGTCATTTTTTATTACATAAAAAACATTCATTATAAAAAATAACTTTTAGGGGAAAAAAATCATTACCTCATGCTCTTTCCCCCATAACCTTTTTCTATGCACATTTTGATCACTTTGTTAAAAATGAAGTCATACTGCATTTGTTTGTAAACTTACTTCGACTTAAGATTAAATTGATAGCTCTTCTAGAAATACAATCACACTTATAATTTTTTAATTGGGGTAAAATACACACATCATAACATTTTAACCATTTCGGGTGCATAGTTCAGTGGCATTAGGTACATTCACATTGTTGTGCAACCATCACCACCATTTATTTCCTGAACTTTTCTGTTTTCCTAAACTGAAACTCTGCACTCGGTACACAATAACTCCCCATTCCCCTACCCCCAGGCACAGTATCCACCATTCTTTTTTTTTTTTTTTTAAGAATGTTTATAGCAGCTTTATTCATAGTAGCCTGAGTGAACCCAAATGTCATCACCAGGTGAACAGATGAACCAATTCTGGTGTATCCATCTAATGGAATACTATCCAACAACAAAAAGGAACAAAATACATCAAACTACATGCAACAGCATAAATGAATCAAAACCATTATGCTGAACAAAATAAGCCAGATACAAAAGTGTACAGACTATATGATTCCATTGTTATGAAATTCTTTTTAACAATCTAATTTATCTAGAAGAAAGCAGATAGTGGTTACCTAAGGTTTGGAGTCCAGGAGTAGGAGGACAGATTGGGAAGTGGCATAAGAAACTTTTAAAGATCCATTCACGTACTGATGAACATTTGGGGTCTAGTTTGAGGCTACTATGAAAAAGCCCGTGTAAATATTTTTGTACAACTCTTGCAGTTACAGAAATGCTCTAAATTTTGATTGTTGTATTAGTTACATGAGTTTAGACATTTGTCAATATGCATCAAACTGTACACTTAAAATGGAAGCATCTTATTGTACGTAAATTATATGTCAGTAAAATCAGGACCCACCATTCTATTTCCCGTCTATATGAATTTGACTATTGTATTTGGTGATTATTCCTTTTCTAAAAAATCTATATTTTAATCATTATGTTACATGTGTGGGTGTATTTATTTAGAGAGGAAACATTTTTCTATGTATTAAAATATGTCTACATTTATGTGCGTGTGCATATATTTCTAGGTGTATATATAGTTATCCCCTCCATGTGTGAAAAATCCAGACTTTGCTACATGTTTTGGGAGGGCAACAATGGCAACCCACTGAAATGCCCTGTAGTGGTATCACACTTGTGTCCAGGCAAGAGGCAGCTGGTCATTAGGCTCGGGGTGTCAGAACCATGTCTTTCCTCGATGTTAAGAATACAAGTTTTTGTTCTAGGGGAAAGCAGTTATAGTTGAATGGCTCTTTGGGGGTTCATGGGGTGCCTGTTTCTCTTCTTTATGGCTTACTTCCCTGGAAAACTAGTCAGAACATGTAGAATACATTTTAACTATGATATTTGTCTTAGTTTCTTTTCTGTTGCTTGCAGTAGAATACCTGAAACTGTGTAATTTATAACAAAATTTATTCCTTACATTTTAAGAAGCTGGGAAGTCCAAGGTCCAGGGGATATTTCTGGTGAAGGTCTTTTTTCTGGTGGGGGCTCTGCAAGGTCCCGAGGTGGCTAGGGGAATCACGTGGGGAGGGGGCTGAGGTGCTAGCTCAGGTCTCTCTTCCCCTTCTTGTAAAGCAAACAGCCCCACTGCCAAGATAATTTATTAATCCGTTGATCCATGAATGCATCAATCCATTCATGAGGACAGAGCCCGCATGATCTGATCACCTCTTGAAAGGCCCCATCTTTCAATACTGCCACACTGGAGATAAGTTTCAACATGAGTTTTTGGGGGCACAGACATTGAAACTGTAGCAATATTTAAGTTTATGTTCTTAGGAAATAAAAGCAGTATCTTTGTAGCATTATGTGCCTGAAGTACCCACATTTGTCTTGCTTCTAGCTTTGCAGATTGTAGGATCCCTAGATGTTCATTGAAACAGCTCCAAGTTTCCACTGAAAGCTTAGACCTCGTCTGGTCCTTGAGGATTTCCCTAACAGGGAGTATGAGAGAGACTACTGAGATTGCGGAGAGAGAGTTGTTGGCTTTGCTCTATAGCATCTGCTTAGCTGAAGAGCCTTAGAAGCTGGATTCTGTCCTCCCAGCTCTCAGGAACACCATTCCTCACCAGCAGGGGGAAAATGTTGATCCTATTATTTGTGAAGGAATTAAAAAGCAACCTTTCAGCCTTGTTAGGCAGACAGCTGATGAAGCCAAAGCCTCTGGCACCTGATCCAGGGAAGATGTCATGAGCACCTGCAGAATGAACACATGTTCTGCCACTTACTAAACAAGCCCTGGGGTGCTTGCCAGCTTCTTGGGTGGCCCAGATCACTTTTTTGCCTGGGCATAATAGCAGACCAGAAGAGCTTGTTGATTCGATGAGATTATGACGACTGCATTGTACCTAGAGGTAGGAATCCAGGCCATTATCCACAACTGTGGCCTGAAGAAATCGGCCCATAACTGATCTGCCCAGAGCGAGTCACGTGGGCACAACCTGAGTGTTGGGGCTGTAGCCCATGGGTGGTCCCTCTTGCCATTTCCAGCTTCCTCCACCAGAGGGGCTGGCATTGGGCCTCTTTATTTCTCATAGCCTCCTTGAGGGCACAGGCTTTGGTTTTTGCCTTCTCTGGGTAAGGTCTCCCACATTGGAGTTGCTGTAATGAAAACTACTAGCAACAACATGGCACCATAGAAGCCAGTCCTCTGCTAACAGTAATTGCTGATCATGCTGTCTTCTAGAGAACCACCCTAGTGACTGGACATCTGGCCTGGTGCAATGCTGATGATAAAAACCCACCCCTGCTTTTGTCAGTCATGAGGAAGGTTTCCTTGTCTAGATGGAGGAACTGAAACCCACAGGCCAGCCCAAGTTTGCCCAAAGCAGTCACTGGGATACAGAACTCCCTTGTGTGGGGAGCAGGACTAATGCCCTTGAGTTACTTGTAGGTGACTCCTCATTGGTTGGCGAATGTGCTAGTATTTTCAGCAAATCTTGAATCTGATGAAACGTGACTGAAGTGCCCCCCAGGTTCAGAACAAACTAACACCACCATGACCTCTATTTATGGCAATCAGGTGGAGTCAGGAGTGGGAATGCATGTTGTACTCCTATCTTGACTAACAATAACTCTGACCTGTGGGAGGACGGTCACATCCTGTCTCCCGTACCATGGGGTTGTGATGGGTCAGGCCCCAGTGCTCATGCATTCGGGTGGGGCCTCCTCACCACTTTGAGACAAGCACGTGCACAGTGGCTGCAGGCCCTCCCCACTTCCATCAGCATCCCCCAGCCTGCCCCGTGACTACTCTCATTTGTGCTCCCTGTGCTCTCATTTGTGATTTAGAGGTCTGGTCCCAAGTGGCTAAAAGAACAGTTCATAAGTCTTTCTAGAAACTCATCAATAATCCACAGGTTACATTGAATTCATCCCCACTAAAAACATCCCCAGAAATTCAGACGTCATAACTCTCTTCCTGAATGTCTTTCCAAGGTCCCAAGTGACCGTAAACAACGCCTTCCACAGCAAAGTGGCTCTGAGGGGTGGGAGCCAGCTGACCTTCCCTGGAATCCCGACTGTAGGGACTGTTTAGAACACGGGTCTACTTTTGAGAAGGTGCTTAGTGTTTAGCACTCACAAGAATGTCACAGATTCAAGAAAATTCACAAAGGCATTCAGGGGAAAGAGAAGCAACAGAGATGGAGACACCTGGTCAGTGTGGCCAGAGCATCCTGGGGGGAAGTGTGCTACACAGCTAGAGGGAGCAAACGCAAGCTGTGGAGGAAGGAAAGCAGCAATGCAGACAGAAAGGACACTGTCCAGATAACTTCCTGACTCAAGAGAAAGGACTGACTCCATGAGAAGAGGAGAGAGAGGACGGGATGCTGAGCTGTGCCACCAAGTCAGAAATCGTTTGAAGTCAATGAAAATCAGACATCTATAGACACATGACTTTGGTTTCCTATTAGGAGAAAC